GCCATGATTCTCACTTTGCCTTCCGGCCAGCCTGCAATGGGACTGTCTGAGTCTTCTTTGATGTTCATCAAGATCCAGGCGTACTGTTCGTGATGGGCATCGGACTCCGGGGCATTCTCATTAATGAAAGAGATACCTTGCAGCAACTCTGTATCATCAGGAGCCCATGTAGGGGCCGTTGTGATAGATTTGGTAGAGACTGTCATTTTCCGGCACACTTTGGCCCACTGCACATGATGTCCAGGCACTCTATCGAGCAAGGACTGGAATGCCTTCCTGACAGCCCAAGGCCCTTGACGATGGAAGGTAAGATACGGGGACCCGGAAATCTTCTTGATCACCTGGCTCACAAGCATTTTTGATTCAAAGAAGATGATCTTGATTACATCTAGGCGCCCATGGCCATCTGCAGCCACAATGCATCCAAGTTTGGTTTGTTCTGGCAAAGGTTCTTCAAATTGTAAAGCGGCAGATAACTCGTCGACTCGTTGGTTTTGCACAGCCGAGGCAATGTTCTCAGGAGTTCCACAATCTGCTATGGAAAGATGCACATCTAGAAGCAGGTTTGTGCTTTTGACGCCTGCTTGGGCGACAGCATCTCAGAAGGTCTGCGACAGGCAAAGGGGCCTCAATGTCCGTCGTATGCTTAATGACGTAACATGGCGTTGTCTGCATGTCATATTACCACTCCTTGCCGCCATACTCCTTCATGGCCTCGTCGACAAAGGCAGCCATAGCCTGAGGAAGCAGATGTTAGGATGCCAAAACCGCCACGAAAGCTGTGCAGAGCAGAACATATTGCGAACATGAAATTAATGAGGACAAGGTGTACATGAGTCAGCAGAGGACAGATACAAGTACTATGACTTGTGAATTGGAAGAGTTATGCGATAACGCATGTCCAATTTCAAATCTGAACAGTAAATCTCGAGTCTGAACAGAGAATCTCAAGTCCAAATAATGAGCCGCAAATCTGAAGTTGTACATGGTTTATAATTTCTCTTTGCATAAATAGTCTATTGTAATAAGCATCTTTTTGGCACCGGCCGCAAAGCTCAAGAAAACATTCACCCCCCACTTTGGCCCTGCTGCCCGAACAACAGCGCCTTCAGCTGCTTATTTTCTTCTTCAGGGCATCGGAAATTGTTTGGTGGGAATCTGCAAGCGAATCAAAATCATATTGGAGTTGCAAATATCGCTCACATTTGGCACATTTTGCAGGTGGTTCAACCACATCTGCGTCTAAGAAATCCGTTTCTACGTCCTTGGCAGGGTCCAGTGCAGGATTCGGTCCCGCCAACTCGACATCTGACAAATCGGTTTCTACGTCCTTGGGAAGACCCAGTGCAGGATTCGGAGTACCCTCATGCGTGTCATCTGCTTCTGCCATAATGCCTTAATTGGGCCCTGGCTCATCGCCTACATCCGAAAATTCCGAAGATGACCCCGAGGAACTCGTGGAAGAAGAATCCGAAGATGACGATGTCGTACACGCTGCAGCAGCTAAAGCAAGGTCCTTTGTGGTTGAAGTCGATAGAAAGGCCAACAGCGATGTGTCCTTCTTGTCCTCCAAAGCACAGACCTTAGACGAACCGAACCGAATCACTGCTCTCAAGTCCTTGCAATTAGGTCATTCAACCTGCGACATATATGCGATCATGCGGCGGGTGGCCGCACCATTTTAGGCTTCTTGAGCAAAGTCAACAATCTGCTTTCCGCTTCCTTGGACCATACACCAAATAGCCCCATAGGAGCTAATTCGAGGCCACGCTGCACATTACAGACCATGGCCGCCAAATGCTTCTTGAGGACGGGTAGCCTTAATTCATGGATAGGCATTTGTCCGTCCATAATTTTCTGCAGCAGGATCTATAAAGGAGCTCCCGGTGTGGTTGGTGCGTTCTGAACACCGACATCGAGCACCACGACAGTTTAACATTCAAAATGACGCTGCCGCTCACAGGAATGGCCATAGTGTCAAGACAGACAGTTGAAGAGACAATTGAAGCACATTCGAGCAGGTTGCTGCGGTCATAAACACATGGAATTTTGGAGATAAAGGATGCTCTATACTTAGATAAATAATTTGAGATTCTCAAGTCTGAACAGCTCATCCACGGATCCAAAATCCAAGATCCAAGATTTCAGAAAATTCTTGTCCAGAAATCTTGGATCCATGGATCTTGGGTGTAGGATCCATGGATCCAAGATTTCTGGATGGATCCAAGATTTCTGGACAAGAGTTTTCAGAAATCTTAGATCTTGGATTTTGGATCCATGGATCCAAGATTTCTGGACAAGAGTTTTCTGAAATCTTGGATTTGGGATCTTGGATCCATGGATCCAAGATTTCTGGACAAGAATTTTCTGCAATCTTGGATCTTGGATCCGTGAATAAGTTGTTCAGACTTGAGAATCTCAAGTCTAAAATCCCAAGTCTGAATTTGTCTAAGTAAAGAACATGAAATTCGATGCCCGGACACTGTTGTGGTTGCGTTGAGCCAAGCAAACACTTGGTAGCATTGAGGCAAGCAGATGTTTGGTTGCATTGAGGCAAGCAAATGTACATTGGATCATTGCATTGGGTTTGAAAAGTGTTGGAAACACCATAAAGTGTGAATCTCGGGAGGGGTACCATATATATATATATATATGAGAGGGGAGCGCTGTGAGCGGCACGTTTTTCGATGAAAATAAGCATTTTTCAACCTTTTTCATGCGTTTTCTTGAGAATGATTGATGTGTCTGACATTGCCTGGAAGGATCTGCCTGGAAGCGCCCAGATGTTAATCAGTAAGATCGGTCAAGAAACCTACAGTGATTATGAGAAAAAGAACCAAAATTGGAATGATAGAATGAATGACTTTACAAGGAACTTAAATGATCACTTTAAACAACACAAAACACTATATGATAAAGAAAAAATGTAGCAAACAAGGAGAAGATAGAAGACCGTAGGGACTTATGGAATGCCTATTCATCACCAAGTGGATTTTACAAAACAGGTAAGATTTTATACATAAGTGGCACAGGTGGTCGTGATGGATCTTTAACAAGGGATATTATGGATGATCTGTTTTTAGTACCTACTAGAAATGTTCATCACAGTGAGAAATACAAACATGTTATAGAAGTATTGGAAAAGTCAGCAGAAATAACCCGTTTGGTTGGACATAGCCTTGCAAGTGCTGTAATAAGATCAATCAAGAACAACCTAATAGATTTGCTACAACAACCTATGCTACCCCTACAATAAAAACACAAAGGAAAGGGGAAAAAATACCAAAAGATTTGATTACCGCAATCCATCCGATATTGTTTCAATTTTGGATGCTTACGCTGTAACTTCTGATTTAAAAGAACCTAACCCTTTAACGAGCCACAGCTATATCAATTTTAAAAGGAACGGCCTTTGGAACATAAATCCCGGCCCAATATAAGCAATGGATTTAACCCTAATCACTCATTTTAAAAAACCCATTTAAACTTAATTAACATATGTAATATTATGGTGGATTACTCCAAGGCAAAAATTTACAGAATACTAAATGACAAAATTAACGATGTCTATATTGGTGCTACTTGTCAGCCATTAAGTGTCAGAATGGTAGGACATAGAAGGGGGCAGAATGGCAAAGATAAGAAATATTACAAATTGTTATCACACAATCACCCAAACATTCAATGCTAGTGGTGGTGAAATCAATATGAATATTATAAAATTATCTTCTAAATTGACTAGAGCATTCATTACCTTATTTAGAATTCCAAGAAGTAATAAAGATTTGAATCGATACTTACCTAATAATTATGTATATAAGAAATGGAATTATTTTTACAATCCTATAATCTATGGAAGAATTAATAATATTGGTAATACTAATACAAATGATTTACAAGGTAAAGGTTTTCAAGATGCCACCCGTAGTTTAAGTTAGCAAATTCAATTAAGCAATTTCCAGAAATACCCAGAATTTAAAGTGCAATCATTATCAAAAATATTTTATTATTTAAGAAAAGCTATACATTACATAAACCCAGATCAAGACAATTTAAGTTTTTCATATCGTCAATACAAAGAGAATAAATTCATTATTAGTATATTATTTGAAAAGATGGTAAATATCATTTTTATTAATTAAATTTCTAAAATGTCAGGTATTATCAATTTTAGAATTAAAAAAGCAGAAGGAGCATTATTAGACCCTAATAAATAAATTATTAAGGTTTTTTATCATTTAATTTCAGAAATTAATCTAGAATTAAAGGAAAATAGGAATATTATCTATTTCCAAGACAATTAAAAATTTAAAATATCCCAAGACATCAAAAATCCAAAATTCCAATTTTCCAAAATTCCTATTTTCCAAAAATCCAAAAAAACAAAAAAAACAAAAAAAAAAAAATAATATTCTGCATAAACCATGGGAGGAAGAAAGGATGAGGCAAAGTCCTAACACAATTAGTTTTTTATTTTTATTTTTTTGTTGTTTTTTTAAAAATTAGAATTTTAAAAATTGCCTTTAGGGGGGAAGGGAGGTTAAAGCAAAATAGGATTCTTTCAATAGAACAAAAATCAATAGAAACACAATACAAATATAGAAACAAAATATTAAAAAAAATAAACAATGCAAAAACGCGCCGCTCAGAGCGCTCCTTTCTAATATATATATATATTTCAGAAAATATATCATACTAGATAATTTAGATATATCATTCCCCATCTCAGATGATATCGGTTTTTTATAGATCCCCATCCATTTTGTCCGATCGAAAAATTGTCCCTTTCCTCATGTTCCTTTATATGATATAATATATATATATATATGTATATTACAAATTGATTTATTATCAAATTGAATTAAAAAATAGGATCCTCCTTTTTCCTGTTGTTGTTCTGTCTGTTTGATGTTGAGCGGAAAATTCCTGGACAAAGGGGACGACCCAAATGGTGCCCAGCATGAAGCGCGCTCGATGCTCGTGATGCTCGCTTCAGCTTCTTACAACTTGGCGACAGGTGCCTTGTCAGCCGCCAAACCGCCACCAGAGAGTTCCTTGAGATCCATGCCTCAAAAAGGTGATCGGAAGGTCAAGGTTTATCAAGGTTTTGGCTCTTGAAGTGCCACCGGAAGTCCACAGTACTCTTTCTTTCGCAAGCGGTTTCCTAATGTTGGAGTCACGGCAATTGATTGAGGCTTCCGAAAAGGTGGGAAATGAGACCATGAAAGTGCCGTGCGGAAGTATGCAGTATGCAACCTTATTTCCAGCCATAGGTTGATTTGGAAAACATGTGCTTTCCCCATTGCAACCCATTTCGTGCTTCTTCCAGCCGCATGAGAACCCACCCGAGCCACGACACGTCTGTGTCCTAGTCTCCTTAGGGCGAAGACAAACGCAAACCATCTAACCACCGGTACCGAGGCAAGAGAACACACACATCCACACACAAAGAACCAACCAACCAACGGTAACCAACCCGAACCACTGCGTCGATGGGGCTCTTGAACTTGTCTCCCAGCATGTACTTGGCGCAGTGCCTCAGTGCGTACGCGCCGCTGGCCGTGGGCGTAGGGCCGTGACGGGCGCGGCTTTAGGTGACTCTGGAAATCTAGAGGATCTCCTCTGGTGTGTGGACATCATGAAGCCTTCCATGCGATCTCCTCACTCAACCACATGCTGTTCACCTGCTTGCACCGACTGCACCACCCACCCCTGCCGGACCCACCTCACAGCCCCAAACGGGCTCAAACACTCCCCCGCAAACGAGGTAGATCACACAAGACCCTCCGGCTTCCTTCAGGGAAAGGGGGTGGTATGTCAGTCCTGGATACCACAGCGGAGAACAGCTGCTGAAAAGGGTTTACTGCATTCATAGTCAAAGGACGCCCTTGGTCAAAAACTCGAGGCCAACCTTCCTTCGAAGCTTGACTGACGTGTCAACTCCACTCCCTGACCAGCCTCCCTGGCGACCAGCCAACCGCCTGGCCAGCTCCTCTCTGCCGCTTCGCCACCGTCCGGCCACACGGCCAAAGACCACGCAGTCCAGCAAGGAGTTTCCGCCCAAGCGGTTGTTGCCATGCACCCCACCAGCCACCTCGCCCGCTGCGTAGAGACCTGGAATGGCCTCCGCAGAAATGTGAGATGGATACACCAAATGAAGGACCCCCTAGCTCGACTCCAGGGTGAATTGTTTTGTCTTCAACAACTAAACTGTGACGTGTTTCTTGGGGACATCCAATAGAATTCGATGGCAAGCAATCGATCGAACGTTCTGTTACCATCAGGAACATGTCATGTTTGCGATCATTTCCCGTACTCTTTCCGCTTCCACATGGAAGCTAACCCAAGTAACCCAAGGCTGTTCTGCATGGAAGCTTGAGCATGTTCTGCTTCCCCCGTCCGACCGAGTGCAGTCTGAACGACCACAGCACCGCTACAGATCACACCTTGCCGGATTTGCCCACCACGGCAGAGTTCTCATCGATCTCCAGTCCTCCCATAAGAGGCCAAAGACATACAGTCTACAGTACTTTAGATAGGTTAGTCTCAAGACAGACGGGCCCTAGAAGCCATCTGGTTTTCAGGGAAAATGAAACACCATTGGGCCAAGGGGTCTTCAATTAACTCAGACTGCGACAATACAGTACATAATGAAACATAGCGCTCTAGACTGACTCTAGGCTACAAACCACAGTGTCAAAAGCGTGGCACCAACACAATTCATCAGCAACTTGCAGAACTGCAAAAGCCATCAAGGTGACTCAACCTCCCTTACACCATCTTTCACGGCCTTTGGAGTTGTGAGATGTTCAGCAGGATTGGACCTCCCTCCCCGCAGCACACTGATGTCATTGCTGCACACATGTTCTTCAAACCACAAAACCTGTGTAAATCCACCATGGACCATGTCAGCATCAGTCTTCTCTGGATCAGGGAAACTCATCTTGGCATACCGGCCCTCCTCCCATGCAGTAGTGGATCACAGGGGTGATGATTGCGGAGTAAAAAGGCTCAGACTTCACCTCCGTTGGTCCGTGGGTGGGCTAAGCGACGTGACAACGAACGTTCACGAAGGGTCGTTCAAGTGCGGAGGGGCAAGGTCGGGCTGCGTGGGTGGAAGACAGAACTTGGAGCTTTGAGAAACTGAGTGTCCTGGTTCCAATACGAAGAGCTGGGTCCATATAAGATGAGTCTGATGCCCACCCCCTCCTTCCAACTGTAACGACATTCAAAGCTTGGTTCCATGTTACCTGGACGTTGGCGAAATTGTACCAGAACACTGGATCGACATGTGCGTGCTCAGTTGACATGCAAAGGCTTTCCACATCTGGATTGACATACATGGCCACTGCTTGCCCTGCTTAACTTGTCAACACAGAATACCAAGGACGCTACTAGGGGCTCCTGGCCTCACTACTAGGAGCAAGAAGCTACTAGGGGCTCCTGGCATCACTACTAGGAGCAAGGACGCTACTAGGGCCTGATGTGTCATCGACAGCGTGCTCTGCACTTAAAGTCCACCCGAACGAAGATGGGACAAAAGCAGCCTTGGATCCCTCGAGGATGTTGTGGAAGAACTTCTTGCCCACGCCGGTCTTGCCACTGGGCTCATCCCAGGTCTTCCCCGAAGGGTAGGCCGGGTAAGGGCCGCCCTCAGGGTCCTTCTCCTCACATCTCAGATCTTGCGAGGACCGATCGGTCTAAACAAAGGGCAAAAGTTGAGCGAGAATGGGGCATGCTGAAAAAATATGTCCCACTCAACTAATTGGCCTCTCTATTTTGAGACATGCCCTTCTGTAATGGTCTGGTTTGGAAAGTATGATTTGGAAACCACTCCCTGATTCGGAAGCCAAACCTAAATTCTCAATGGGAATCAATCGTTCTTGCATGTTGGTGCACGCAACCCGGTCTTTCTTCCGGGCCTTTGTACAATTCAGCGAATCAGACAACTCAGAAGCGCTAAGAACATCATCACCACCCCACCCCCGGCCACTCCCCACCCCAACAACACTAGGTTGCTGAGTTTCTTTTGTGGGTGTCAACTTGTTTTTTTCAGGTTGCCCTGAATGGTAGTTTCGGAATCGTTGTTTCTGAATCGTAGTTTTGCAGGATGGTAGTTGAGCCCTAGTTTCTGAAGCTTTGTTTCGGAATCGTTTGTGAATCATAGTTTCTGAATTACGATTTCTGAACCCTAGTTTCTGATTTGGATTGTTCTTCTATGATCATGTATGCATATCTTACATATGACTCTCACACAACGCTGGCTCATAGGAGTCTACAGTTTCGTTCACAATGATGTTGGAAGCGCTGGGGTGTTTTCGGCATCCGCCTGTTGGTCTGCTAGCAGTGCTTTTTCTTTTCCTTGTCACATAGGTCAGGTCAGGAAAGGCTCCAGACGCGATTAAGCTCTTCTTATGGGTGTCTCAAAGCAGCGCCCACCAAACCCGAAGTAGAAGGGAGGAAATCACTTCCAAAACCTCTTTGCTGGGGCCTTAATCATCATTTGGAGAAAAGCACTCACAGGTGGTTCAGCTTCCAGCAACAAGGTTGCAAACCTTGCGAAGGAAAAGGAAATTCTACAAATGTATACAAATGTGAGAAAACAATAGGGATCGGAAATCCATGGAAATCCACTTTAAACCGCTCGGATGCTCTGGTGGGCTCCTGCTTCTTGGCCGCCTCGAAGTGCACCTGGTGAGTCTTCTCCAAGGTGCTCACTGAGATGTTCATGTCTTTGCACAGCTCCTGGGTTCAAAAGGTGACAAAGTGAATGTGAAAGTTCCACTAAATCCCTGAACTGAGGAGAACCAATTCGGGGCATCCGGGCGTCTCATCAATTGGCTCAAGGATGGATTAGAGCTTCCTGAGCCTGAGGTCCGTTTCGCTTGGGATTTTATGGCAACAAGGAAGGAAGGAAGGAAGGAAGGAAGGAAGGAAGGAAGGAAGCCTTCAGAAAGCACCTGATGTTGACCTCCGAGACAAAACATTGCCTTCTTTGGACACGGCCTGTTTTCATGAAAGGATTGCGTCTTGAAGAATCTATCATCCACCCAAATACCGAACCTTTCACGATAAATTCCCTTCTTACTACATCCTCCAGGCCAGGTCGTTACTAATCGGTTGGACGGGCCGATCGGTTGCTCCTCACCCGACTGGTAGAACTTCATCACGCCACGGCCGGTGTAGTGCTTGCAGTGCCAAATGATCTCGTCAGAGGCTGCCTTGTTGAGGATCCTGAGCTCAAGGGAAGCCAACTCTTTCACAGAGATGGAGACTTTGGAGGAACCTTTTTAGGCATAGTGGCCAAAGACGGAAAATCCGAGCTGTGACAAGGACGGGATGATGATCCCTGCAGTGCTCCTGGCCTGGTCATACAGCTATTCGAGTATGGCCCCATCACCAATGGGCTTGTGAAATGAGTCCAACCGCATTCACTGCGAGAAGGGTCCAACCGCTCCATGCGTACTCCTGCTACTCCTGCTACTCCATTCATCTGCAAGGGGATCAATCTTGAGGAAACTGGTCTTCCATCTGCACTGAAATGATGGCAGCCTCTAGAAATGCAAGGATCCCCATGCTGGTGCTCATGCTGCACGGCATACTCTCCAACCTCTTTAGGTGCCCACCACTTCAAGCGGGGTGAATAAAGGCATCCAGCTTGCCGGGTGTTTCCGGGCACCTATTAAAATTCAGTGCCACTTACGTCCAACGCTTTCTGAATCGCCCAACCCGGATGACCCCGGCATCCAAAGAACAGGCGGTAGGGCGGCTTCGACTTCCTCGGCCGCTTGTCTCAGGCAACGTCTCAAATTGTCCCAGCTGCCCCCACTCATAGAAGAGATTGAAAAAAGCACGGTCGATCTTGGTCAGCCAAGACCAAAGTGATTCTATATTAATATAATCTTATCTGTTTTATAAAGAGCGTTCTGTCGTTTCCATAACTGAGAACAGCATGGGAGGCAAATCGAAAACAACACCATCAATCTCAGTAGCCCAGCCCCTGCCTACCCTTGAACCCTGGGAACAGGATGACCCCATATTCACAACAACCATGAGCACCCCGAACGGTGACTTCAACCAAAAGAAGCCGACCGAGCTAGAGGCCCAACGCAATGTTTCGATCAATGGATTTACATTGGCAAATGTGCACGTCCAGCAACTGCAACCTCCCTCCCTTGCGCCCCATGACCATCGGAACAATCGCTTTCTTGGCTCCATATGTGTCCGTATTCATCCTCATCCTGCCGCCTCCTCTCCAAGTGGTGGACCATTCTCTGCCCTCACGGGCCAGGGCGCCACATCTCGCCCGTCACATAGTCGCGACGGCCCAGCTCGTTGCAGAAGCGCTGGCCATCGGCGTTGATCACCAGGCCACCTCGGCCGTGACACCGTGAGACCCGCCTGTGGCCACGTTGGACTGGTGGGACTGGCATCTGGGTCGCCGCGATCCGGGTCGCCGGTGTGAGGAGAAGGGTTAGGAAACCAAAATCAGTTCATTGTTTGGCTGAGGAGCACCAGACGGAATAGGGGGAGCATCTACTCCCTACCCCTCTCGCTCTCTCGCTCTCTCTTGCTCTTTTTGGTCCCTCTCTCATTCGCAAAACTAGGGACTTCTATATCTGGAAGGTGGCCCAATTCATTTTCCTCTACAATATGGGCATGTTCAGTTTCCATCATGGTCTCCCTCGCAAATATTCCCGACGGCCCGACAACACTTCCAACACATGCTGGCAGATTTCTTGCATTGGCAACCATGGCTTGGCTCCGCAACACGCACGCTTGGCAACAACTCGCACATTCCAAAGTCTCGAAATGTGCAGTCGTAGTCTGTTTGTTCATTAAGATCATCTAATTCTGCACGTCCAAGCAAGAAAGCAAGCAAGCAAGAAAGGCAAAAAAGTTACGAAAGGCAAGAAAGGCACGAAAGGTACGAAAGCAAGCAAGCAAGCAGGCAAGGAAGCCGGCAAGGCAAGGCAAAGGCAAGGCAAAGGCAAAGGCAAGGAACGGAAAGTTCCAAAAAAAACAAACAAGCAAAGCCTGCAAAAGGCAAAGCAAACAGCACAAAAAGAAGTAACAAAAAGCAGCAGCAAAGCGAAGCGAAGCGAAGCTTAGCAGAAAGACATGGCCAAAGCTGTGAGGGTTGCTGCGATCTCCCCACATTCTCCGACCACTGCCAAAGCGGCCCACACCACGGAGCGCTTCAGCAGCGAGGAACTTGATCTTCGCCTGGCTCTCAAGACCGATTTCCTCTACAGGGCGCTACCTCAGCTTGCATTTGCATTGCATTGAAGGAGGGTATATCTAACAACGGCTTCATGACCAAATCTGGACTGAAGTGTCATTCACCCTTTAAGCTGCCATCATTGGGAATTCGGAAGACAGAAAGATGGTCTCTTTCCACTTTCGGGAACGCACGACAATAGTAGCCACTTTTCTCGACCCCTTCTCGTCATATGTCATATGTTCAGTCCCTTCAATTTCAACACATGAAGGATGAAAGTCACGCACCCCAGGATGAAGGTCAATTTGTGCGACCCTCGAACGCATCTGTGTTTCACGGATGACCCGGGGATCTGACCAAAAAAGTACTGACTGTGACCATCCAGTCGATCACCCGGGTTCAGTTCAAGTGGGAAAGCTGGTGAGCCACAGTCAATCACCCGCCGTGGATCCACTGTCCTGCCTCCGGATCATCCGGCTCCACGAGGCCCGTTGGATGGACCTCACCGTCTCGCAGAAGCAGCGAGGGAACAAGCAGCGAGGGATATGAAGTGGGTCTTGGGACGCCATAGACAGACAACTGGATCCAAGGATGCCAGTGGTACCCATCCAGGCCTTATCAGGTGTTCAACTAGCACCTGATAAGGCCCTGGCACACCAGTTCTTGTTGAGATGCTTTACGAAACAAACTGCATGTGAAATACATGTGAGTGCCGATGCTTGCAACCGTTTTCTAAGCGTCCGAGCATTGATACCTTTTTGAACATGTTGTGTGCTTTAAATCAAGTCATTGTTGTCAAAGTGAGAGGGCTGCCGAACCCTGATGCCCGCACCATGCGCAGCATGCTCAACACCAGCGTGCCTGCACCCACTCCAAGTCGATGCTCTTGGCTCCAATGGCCTCGCCCATCTTGATGCCATCACCTCCGGGCGCGAATGGCTGGTGCAAATGGGTCGCTTGGAGGCCACTTTCACCCAAAGCTCCGTGGCGAGGACGGAGATCCAGTCGAACACAACCAACCACCAGGTGACCAATTACCTTCACGTCGAAACCTCATCGATTCTGAACGGTTTTTCACCATTGGCCCAACGGATCAACGGAAAATTGGCAGGAACGAAGAGGAACGAAGAATCAGGTAGGAAACTCCCCCACACCTACCGGTATCACTTGGGAACACACCTACCGCGAAGGAGAAAAAAAGACCATACAGTACTCTGGAGTGCCCCTGGCCCCTTCTCTCCATGTGCTGGCCCCTTCTCTCCACTGGCTAGTGGTCCAGTCATCAAATATTGATCCCAGCCTGTGGTGTGGTCGCCGTTGGTGGTGGGCAGGTGCAGCAGGTCAGGGCGGTACTTGGCCAAAAGGGAGTCCTGGCCAGTCTTGGAAACCGAAAAGATCGATGACTAAGATTTTGCTGATTCGGAACCTCGAGAACATCCAAAAACCTACAAAAGCGGCAAATCATCTTAAACCACGCCAGTGGCGATGCCATCAACTCCTGACCTGAAATGACGGCCAAAAACAACATTCAACCAAACAAACAAACCTCTATCTAGGGGGGTCTGCTGCAGCCTGCTTTCTGTTTCAATGGGGAAGGGTGCATTGACTGGGTGCATTGATCCTTCACCAGGGCTTTGTCTGTTTAGTTAGTTCTGTGTGTCAAACAGGTCTGTGTGTCAGTGAGAGCCTCAAGGGGGCCCAGGTATTGGGATCCAATTGGGCAAATTGGATAAACCTCCTAGTGTTGGGCATATTCCTTTTCAACGAGGAACACACTTGCTCCCCAAACACCTCGATCCCCCTGGGCAAAGCCCGGGTAACATGTAGGAGGACTTGATCATTGTCTTTCCACCAACACTTCCACTGGGAAGATGTCACAGTTGTTAAGTGGCTGTTGATGGCCAAATATCACAAAAGGCGCTCAATAGAGAAAGCCACAACCACAACTGCATTGTTCCTACGCCTGCTTCAGCTCCACCCTATCCATTCCTTCCGCCATTCCCAGACCTCGGTGAAGTCTGCACCAAAGCCGCCAGTCGCGAGGATCACAGGGCCTTCCTCTGTGAAGTCCTTGCCTCCAACGTTCGCTCGTTCATCTTTCACAAACGGTCTTGCTGTTTGGGTGGCTGGGCGGGTGGCTTGGCCCAAACATCTGGCACTTCGGGTCCGTCTGGCAGGTCCCAAACGAACCACCGAGTTGGTCAGCCGGGCGGCCTTTCTTCTCGTAGGTGACGCCACACACGGCATCGCCCTTGGTCAAAAGCTGCTTCACCTTGGCCTGGGGGCTGGGCGAAGCGGCGAAACGGCGGCGTTTCGGTGGGATGAGGGCGCCAATCATGCCATGCAACACGTCACACGATCATCTCTCCACACTCCTACTTGACCAGACCAGATGCTCCATCATGATCATGCAAGACCGATCCAAAGAAGTCTACGACTGGTGGTCACCAAATTTACAGGGTCGAGAAAACGTTTCAACGGACAACGACACGAATTGACCCAAGTCCAGGATAATGAGGTGGAAGAAAACAACAAAAAACAATGGGTCGCCTGCGTTCAACCAAAAAGCACGATCCTTCGTGGAACAGAAACCCCGCCCCTGTACATGGCAAACTCTTTGACCTTGAACATCTAGAATCTAGATCTTTCTAGGCAAAACTTCATGCATGTCGTTGGACTTCTCAACACTTGATGGTGATTCGCTCTGAACGGAGGCACACATGTGATTCGGTGAATCCTACAAGATATGAGCTCTATGCGAGCTGGGAGAGAATTCCAAACTTTTTTGGCTGCAGGCCCACAACTCTTCACCCTCCCATCAAAACAACAAGAGCTTCCTGCTACCAAGGAAATTTGCCAGTGGCTAGCCTGGTGCCCCTGTAAATCAATATCCACATAATTGCCATCAAGCCGGGCCAGCCTTGTTGATGATACGGGCCAGATCGCTGCGCTCCGAAATCTTCTCGACCATCTGGATCAAGGCGTAGGTGATAGTCATTCCTGCCAGAAAGATGGGCCGCAGGATTAAAAATGACTATCACCTACAAGAAATGCCTATCCGATCCTTCATATGCCAGAGATGATTCAGGGTTTATTTACTTAGGGTTAGAGCCGGATTCTGCCAATAATCGGTCAGATTCTGAAACTGGGGCTCTGAAACTAGGATTCTGAAACGGGTGCGATTCTGTAACTGGTGTTCCAAAACTGAGATTCTGGTTCGGTTTTTAGAAGCTGGGACGTTGGGTTCTGACCCTGGGAGTCTGAAACACATGGTGAAACTGGGTTTTTGAAACTACGTCTCCGAACGAGTGCATGGCATAGAGTTCCTGAATTTCGTTTCAGAACCTGAATTTCAGAATCTTAACCTGACTGCTTATTTATAGAATCCGGCTTCAACCCCATAGCTTACAACCCTTGGATCACATTGACACTTCTACCTGATCGTCGCCAAGTCAGCAAGCCAGGCTGAACCGTCGCGATGCGGCTCGATCACTAGCCTCAGCCTACAGCGGCTAGGGGCGTTTCACTGAAGTCTGAACGTGAACGGCTAAGCAGTTG